TCAAACTGGTGGCGGGGGTGGGGGGGCACTTCTTAGTGGTGCAGGGGTTAAGTATCAGAACTATCAAGTTATTGCCAGCCACTATGGCATGAGTTAAATTCCCAGCTAGGGGGAGCTGATCTCACCTGTCTTGTCCACTGTTCCCCCTACCCAATGCTCCACTCAGCAGTGTATTTCAGTGGATCTGCCTGTTCTGCTCCCACTCTGTCTCTGGTGAATCCTCTCACTGCCCCCAGCAACTCTGACCTACACTCCAGTTCTTCTATCTACAAAAAAAATCTTTTTTAAAAAAAGGTGAATTATTCACTTAACAGTATTAGAATAAATGGTTAGTCATTTGAAAAAGATGCTGAGTTCCCACACTACTCCTTATATTAAAACAACTTCCTCAGGAATCAAAAATTCAAATATAAATTGTAGACGAAAATAGTTATATTACACAGAGTTATAATCTTAAGGGGGAAATACCTAACAATATGTAAAAATTTAAAATTTTTGTAAGGCATAAGTGTGATAAATAGCCATTGATCATTATAGAAATAGTTCCTACAAATCAATAAGCGAAAAAAAAAAAAAAGAGATAAGCAACTGAAGAAGACAAAGAAATATAAATGATTATATACATGGAGTTTATCAATTTCATAAAAAAAGCAATTTAAAAAAATTAAGTTATAATTTTCAAGTAGCAGTACTTCAGGATATGGGGAAATAGTGATACTTATACACTGCCGTTAAGGAGTAAAAAGTAATATTCTTTTGAAAGGGCATTTAACAATAAATATAAACAAATTTTAAAATACATGTTTGTTCCAATGATGTCTGTAACTAAAATTAAACATGATTTGATTATTTGTAAATAATTAAGGGCAAATAATTAAGATACAGTTTATCCATACAATTCAAGATATGCAGTAGACATCCAAGACAAATTAAAAGGTAAAGAACAGATCTAGTATGATACTATTTGTGCAAATGAAAATGAAGGATAAGGCAGCTTTCCTGCCCATCTGTGTCTAGCAAGCATCTCTTTCTTAAGCCAATCACTTTCAAAAATGTAGCTCTTTCTGTCCACTTGCAAGTGTCCTTTTCTTTCCTTTTTAATATAATAAGCCTGACCCTTTGGATATTAAAAAGAAAGAAAATTAAGGATATAACAAATTGTATAAAAATATCAAGTATACAAATATCTGAAAGAAAAGACAGAAGAGATTGTTTCTCAGCCTTTTGGCTAAGATCAAGTGTAGAAAAGACAGAAGAGATAGAAAACAGACAGTAAAACTTTAGTTATTTCTGAACCCTCTTACACTGCTTGTGGGAATGCAAACTGGTCCAACCACAATGGAAAACTGTGCAAAGGTTCCTCAAATTGAATCTACCATATTACCCAGTGATTCCACTCCTAGGAATCTACCCAAAGGACACAAAAACACATTTTTTAAAGGAAACCTGCACTCCTATGTTTATTCCAACATTATTCACAATAGCTAAGATATGGAAACAACCCACGTGCCCAAAAACAGATAAATGAAAAATCTGAGGTATATATACGCGATGGAATACTATTCAGCAATCAAAAAAAAGATAAACTCTTGCTATTTCTCAGCAACATGGATGGATCTAGAAGAGATAATGCTCAGTGAAATAAGTCAGAAGGAAAAAGATACTGCATGGTTTCACTCACAGGAGAAATATAGGGAAACCAAACAAAGGGTTAAAAAAAAAGACAAAATTGCAGGCAATCTATAGATCTAAGGCATACAGCAGGGGAGGGGAAGGGGAAAGGTTAAAATAGGGGAAGGAAGAGCACAAGGGGACTGTGGTATGTTTCACAAGTGATGAAGTGGTAGGAGATTTATGGGGATTTATTCATTTATTGCACAAAAATGAGTAACAATGTAAAAAAATAAATTAAAAAAAATTGATTACTTCCTGAGTATAGGACTAAGAGAAGCATTAACTTTTTCCCCCTATATCCCCCCCCCATAGGCATTTAACTTTTAAATCTTTTCATGCTATGAATTAAATATTTACCATAGGTAATATATTTAAAAGTAGAATTTTAAAAACAAAGATAATCTTAAATACTCCACCACCATAGCTCTTAAATGAAAAAAATGTGATTAAAATATTGAACATCTACTAGTATTATAGGAAGGACTGGATCTTAAGCAAGTAATTATTAAACTACCAATATAATAACTGAACTATTCAACTTTCTAAAAGTATTTATTCTACATACAGATAGTTCAATTTTCACAAAATGAAGTACTTTTTTCTTTTAACTCACTCCCAATCCCTTCACAGTAAAAATTACTTGCAGGCAACAAATGAATATTTCCAGAAAACACTTCATTCTTGAAAGTACTTCACCCAATTTATTATCAGATACCTAAAGAATATGATTTGAAGAAATTAAGAATGATATAATTGTTAAGACTAAAATAAGAGTAAATTTAACAATAAACTAGATTCTGATAGAAAAGGTGGGCTCAGACTCTAGGTTCACCAAGATATAATAGATGTTAGTGAAAGTCATAATTCATCAAGTCTAGGTTTCTTCATATAGTAATAATACCAATTTCATAAGGGTGTCATGTGAGCAAATGCAACATTTTGTCTTTAGAGATGAAGTTATATATTGATATAATAACTCACACTGCAAAGTAAATACCAATTTTTTTCCTTTTCCCTCAAATAAGTACTATTACATTAGCCCATAATTCAGGCAGGATAACCATATTTAACTTCACAGAAACTAGGATGCTACTCAAGGAATAGTACTACTTAGTAGAAAGATACAATTTTATGCTTCCCTATTTTCACATCAACCATTAATAAATTATTTTCAAAATCAAGCATTGTATAAGTGATAAGCATCTGACAATACGGAAAACAAAAAAAGGAGGGAGGAGGAAAAAAGGAAAGCTATTTGAAGATTATAAAGTACATTCTATCCATTATTTCATCCTCTAGCATGAATGACTGCAAGAGAAATAAAACCCAAAATACTAGATAAAATTCCAAAATATACTATAATGTGGTACATACCAGTCAAAAAAAACTGTTCAAAAAATGTCTTTAAAACCCCCCCCATGCGATCATGCTCAGCGAAATAAGCCAGAAAGAAAAAGAAAAATACCGGATGGTCTCACTCATAGCAGGAATCTAGAGAACTTAAATAAGGGACCAGGAAAATGAATAACTATAAGAAAGTGAAAATCAAAATCAACAAAAAACTATGAACCAGAGACAGTTTTTGGGGAGTGGGGGGGCGGGAGGGGAGGGATTGGGGACAGAATGGGGGGGGGTTGCAAATGTATGGGGAATATAAAAATAAAATTTATTATTTAAAAAAAAAAAAAAAAATAAATAAATAAATAAATAAATAAAACTCCCCCTATGAATGGAGAGTAGTAATTTCAATTTCATTAACACTTCTAAACAACTTCTCCGTTTTTCCAACTCAATATTCAAATTAAGCTTCTGTTTTCAAACTATGAATATACTAAGGGGCAGAATATATAAAAATGATGGGAAAATACCATAAGATTTTACTTAAGATATGTAAATCAGATTCAAATCTCAACATTGATCCAAGGTATACCTTTTACTTTTATAAGCAATACAAATTCTATCATAAAATGAATTCTTTGTCAGTAAAATCCATAATTAAGTTTTAACATATCCATTTTTAGACTTTCAATTACAATAGCTCCCTTAATTGACATCCACCTTTCTGCATTCTCTAAGGCAGAAATAACCTGTCTTAGTCAACACCTTTTTAAAATCTTTTTTGCCCTTATTAAATATGAACGACAGGGTGACCATTCTCAACTAGTACCTATTTTTAGTGCATATTCAGGCACTTCTGATCTTACCAGCTGAATTACATGTTTAACAAGTCAGTTGTTTGTTCCCAAGCCTTTTTATGGCAGTATATTTGTTACAGTCTTTACATAAGAACATTAAGTACATAGAATATAAGCACAAAAAAATTGTTTCTATGTAAACTAAGTTTAATGTAAACTAAAAAAGACTCAATAAGCAGGATTCATTCTTTTAAAAGACACCTAATTAATAAAGGTGAGATATCTGCAAAATATTAGGGAAAATCATAAAAAGTTAAAAGAAACTATGTAACTATACTTAGGGTTTTTCAAAAGTATCTTAAATAAAGCTTTTATTCCATTTCAGATACATCAAACTGGAAACTGCAGAGTCATGCCTTTCAGAGATATGTTACCAAGAACAACATTTTTCAGTATCACATTGAAAGAGATAGCGATAACTATACATCAAAAAGTTGGCAAATGAATATATAGTTTTTACGTTAAAATTTATACACATTGGGGCCTCCCTGGTGCCACAGGGGTTAAGTCTCAGCACTACCAAGCTATCACCTGCCACTATGGCATGAGTTCAATTCCCAGCCAGGGGACTAACAACGCACATGGTGCAGCAGACCTCATCTGTCTCACCCGCTGCTCCCATCAGCAGTGTACTTCAGTAGATCTGCTTGTTCTGCTCCCCACTCTGTCTCTGGTGAATCTTCTCACCCCCTGTACCTCTGGCCTACACCCCAGTTCTTGCATAAATAAATAAATAAATAAAGATAAATAAATAAAGATAATAAATAAATAGAAATAAATCTTAAAAATTTTTTTAAATGTTAAGATAAGCATTTTTTGTTTTTTTCATTTTTCTGCTTTAACTTTTTAATAACCTACCAGCTAACTGTCTCAATCTCCTGAGAAATGAAGCCTTTTCATTTTTTCTGAGGACCTTGTTTAAGGGTATGTTATACCAACTAGATAAATACTACATGTCTTTGTAACATAGTATATAGTAATAAGCACTCCAACTTTATGGAAAAAAGCATTAGACTATACTCCACAAGATCAAGGACCTTTATTTTGTTCACAGATGTATACCAAAAACATCTGAAAGGAATAGGTGACGCTTAATAAGTATTTGTTCAATGAAGGAGTAAAAGTACTTACTGTGATGACAGCCTTGCTAAGACAGATGGAGCCTCTGCAGCCATATTCTGTCTCATCTTCAGATTTGTAGTAACTCAGAGTATTTTTTTTTAAAACTACCCAACGATCCTGCCATCCATGAATGTAGTTTGTCCACTGAGGGTGAGGAGAGAGGGAAGGAAGATGAAAACAAACAAACAAAAAAAAAAAACCGTCAGTACTTTAGAAATCTGTACTTTCTAAAACAGCAATCATATTTTAATTAGATTAGGTATGAAAAGTTCTAACTTAATTATAATTATTAAACATGATTATAAAATGGAAAAAGCTCTTTCTAGATTGTATAGACTATCTAGCCGATACAATCCGTACTAATTTTCAATAGTATTTACAAAATTATAAATAGATAAAAAATATCATAGAGCCTCCCCAGTGGCGCAGGGGGTTGAGTGCAGCACTGTGAAGCTGTCCACAGCCTCCACAGCGTGGGTTTGATTTCCAGCCGGCCAGGGAGATACCCACATGGTGCGGCAGACCTCTCCTGTCTCTCCTACTGTCCCTCAGCAGTGCTTTCGGTCCGTCTGCCTGTTCTGCCCCCTACTCTGTCTCTGGTGAATCCTCTCATCCTCCCTCACCTCTAGCCTATACCCCAGCACTTTTAAATAAATCTTTAAAAATAAATAAACATTGGAGGAATAAAACTGAAGCAAATTTCAGTTTAAAACTCTGGTTTTGTTTCTTTGTGTGCTTTCATTAATTCTCCCTTATCATCTTCATGACACTTAAATTGTTTTCATACCTGTGATAATTAACATATTCAACAAAAAAGTAAGTTTGGTTATATACTCTCTCATTCTCCTTTACCAAGTACTCCATGAAGCAATCATGGCCCATACGCAACTTTTTCGGTTAAGTTATTCCTATGTAACAATTTGTGAAGCTCATAGTTACGTCAAAGTAAAAATACTAGATCACTAATATTTAGTGGTGTACAGCTTTGTTTTTTCCTTCACAGAACTCAACATTACATATTTAAAATAGTTAAATCATTTTGCAAATTTCTCTTAAGATGTATTTTCCCAAACATAAGTGAGAATACAAATATAAACTTTAAAATATTTGCATTATGTTTCCAGTGTCCAGGAGTGGTTTCTTAGTTGTTAAAGGCTTGTCACACACTGAAGATCACAATCAATAAACTTGCAGACAGAAATGTAATCTCTATGGGAATTCTTGATTTCACATATTTTTATGCTCTGGAGGTTTTAAGTATAGGCAATTCTAAAAACTATCTGCCAAAAACAAAATCTAATGGATTGCTAAAAATATACAGCATTGGCTCAGGCTCTTTACTCATTGAGAAATCTTTACTTTTCTATTCCCTAACTCAGCATTTTTCAGATGGTTCTGCTCTTAAATCTAAGCCCCATCCCTGAGAGCTCATATATAGTTGCAATTTAACTCATTTTTTCCTTAAGGTGTCCCTAATTGCCATTTCCTTATTTCTAACTCCCTGGAACTAACAACCACTTAGACACAGACTTGAAATTATGATAGTTACATCTCAAACTGATTCACCTCCTCTCTATCTCCACCTACCTACTTTCTTCGCTGTACACTACTGCTGTAGTCATTTAGACTCAACCCTGGCTGAGAGTCAGCATATTGTATGGACGGAGTTGTGGATGCAAGATCAAAGAGACTCAACTACTTAACTATTGGGTTGTTGGAAAAGTCACGATGCACTTTTCCTACAATCCAATAGTTTTATCAAGGTTACTTCACTTTTCTGAGTTTGTTTCTTTGCCTGTTATTTGAGTGGCTGAATAAAATCATGGATATGTCTACCGCAGGCATAGGAGATATTTAATAACTGCTCCTCAATCTCTACAGCCAGTAGAGATTGAGTTTAAAACTCAATCCTACTCACCTTTCTTTCATACTAAAACCTTAAATTTGGCTTGTCTCTATTTTCAATTAATCCAATTCAATTATTAGGCTCCTGAATTCCTGAGAGGACTTAATATTACCTCTAGTACATTCTGCCTTTTATTTCATAACTTACATAATCCTATTTACTTAAGTATATCTGCTTTCTTATCTTACATACTAAACCTCCAACTCCAAAACATAAATGGGACAACACACTGCCTATAATACAAATTATTTAGACTGGCATGACTTAATCCTACCTTGCTTCCAATTACTGCCCTTCAAAGGGCTAGTAACTGTGTGACTGTGGTCAAGTTACTTATCCTCTCTGTGTTTGTTTCCTTGTCAAACTCTATCTCCTAGAGTAGTTAAGATTAAACAAGAATAGACTTACAACACTGCCAGGCACATAGTATTTTCTCAGTTGAAGGCTAAGTTATGCATGGCTAATGAAGCTTTAACCTTCAGCACAGTTCACTAGGATAGATCCCTTCCAAAGTTATAGAAAGGACCACAGCATAATTTCATATTACTTTTTCGTGAAAGGCACACAAATTAAGAAACTTCTGGACACTTAGTAAATGTTGGCTGCTAATATCACACCTGGAAGGCAGGTTTTTGTCTTTACCCTAGTAACATTTCCTCCCTCTCCCAATTTAACAGAGACAAGTCAATATGCTAGACACTGCAAGAGAAGCAAAGGTTCTGCATTCCAAGTCCAGCAAACATAAATTCAAGAGGAAAGAAAACACATTTAAAATAACAGAAACCAAGTTTACAAGTAAAATACTATGAGAATTGAAAGAAAGGAAATCTGGGAAGATTAGCAAAGAAAAGCTTCACAGAAAGAATAGTATTTGTGATGGACTCTTAAAAATGGCTAGGATTTCAGTCAACAGGTGCTTTGAGAAATAGAGAATAAGGTAAATCATGAAGGATAGTGGCAAATTCAGATGAGGCTGAATGATTTTTTTTTTTTAAATCCAGGTTTAGTTGCCCCTAAGTTCTACTAAGGCATGAATTTTTTTCTATCCATGACTCATTGTGATATTTGTTATAACAATCCAGGACTGTCCCATTCAGTATTTTGGGACCTACATGCATGAGAAATAACTCTGTAGAAAAAACACTTCACAGGTTTCAGTATTTTAGATTACTATATAGGAAAAGAAATCTTTGGACTAGTATATTTCTAACATAACTTTACCCTCTTCCTATTTCAAACTCATTCCATTTTAGAGGGAAAGAAATAAAAACAAATTAGCACTGGCACTTATCTATATTACTCTACAGAAGAAAAAGAACAGATTCTGAGTTCTTTTGTTGAAATCACCAAGTGAACACAAAGATCTCAAAACCATATATGCATTTTAAGTGTAGAAACATGTATCATACTCACTATATACTTAACAAAATATTCTCAATTACAAAGTTTCCAGAAAACATTAATAATAGCCATAAACGGCTAAATTTCAGGGAAACTCCCTCATGGCTATTACCAAAAACACCAAAGCCTACATTCCGGTTGATTCTACATATGCAGCAGCGTTGAAGTAATTTACATGTATTTACCTACATTTCTTCGTATTTAAATATCAAGGAGATAGGCCTATATTTGTTGTCATATAGTATACCTACTATACTGTTCTGTATACGGTTATTACTCGAGAGCATGGGTGACCCCATCAGTAACTTCAATTCTCCTGTCCTGCCCTCACTTCCCCAAAAAGCCAAGAACAGTATGTCAAAAAGCAGTTTGTTTTGTAAGATACTTAACACTACAATACAAATTTGGAAGTCTGCTTCCCATCTAATGAGAAAAGTGATGAAACTATCAGACTCATTGAGAAACCAAGTACCCACTTCATAAAAATCCATCTGAAAATGTATACCTATTGTTCAATACAGATTCCTAAATTACAAGATACTTTTGACTTTAAGAACCTCTAGGGAGCATCATTTTACTGAAAAACCTCTCACTGAAATTCCAAGAACAATCGTAATACCAACACACCATAATTTTTCTGCTATGCAAATAAAAGTTAATACTTGAAGGTCCTGGTTCTGACATACTCATTCTTTCCTAGGTTCTTTCTTACCAGTCTTTTAAAGACAATTATAAAGCCTAATGCAACACAATTCTACTAATGATGTTCAAAGATTTAACCAATGTATACTGAAAGCAGGGTGATTTCTTAATAGCCAGTGGCTGCACATGATCTAGTATCTCATGACCAGCTTGTTGAGGGATGGCCCCAGTTCCCTGCCTCCACCCCTCCAAATTAACTGCTAGCTCCAGTCATTTGTAAAAGTTAAAAAAAAAAAAAGGAAGTAAAAAAGGCAATTTGGATCTTCTCCTAGCGAAAGTTAAAAAATACACAACAAAACCACTAAGACCTCCCCTGCCAAAACCACGTACTATCAAAAGACCACCCACCGTCTTTCTTTAAAGGGTCCATTTTTAACCAGTCTTAAAACCCTACAAATGACTACTACCTTGGCTAAAATTGCAAAAACGTAAAAAACAAAATATTTTAATAAACAATGTTGTTCTTTCTGGACTAAAGGTTGGCCTCCATTCTGACATGTTTCAAGTTACCATGAAAATTTCTTGTACCAATCACACGCTGATTCAATAGCTCTTCTCTGAACTGGGGGTAAAAGATGAGGGGGAAGTACAAAAGTCATCCTCATTCAGATCTTACTACATCTCATCTGGCATAGTTTACCACCTCAGATTTCAGCACCAAACCGAACTGCTCCGGCTTGGGTGTAAATAGCCGCGTCCGCAGATCCCCTCACTCACTCAGCTCGAGATCTCCAGACTAACCTCGTTTGAGAGGTCCCACTGGCATCGCTCCTATACTTAGTCGTTCGGACGCTGCTAGAAGCCCAACCTGGATTCCTATACCCGGGACAGCTGCTGCCCTGGGTCCCAAGTCACGGTGCTCATCCCACTCTGAAGCAGGATCCCTGGGGTTGGGACACATCTTCCCCGGTCCTTGGCTGCCGCTGAGATCCACGGCAGGAGAAGAGGATAGTCCCCTTCTCCCCGGCCCCCTAGCCTGGGCCAGGGCACTCCTGCGGCAGTATTCAGCCCCGCACCCCGATACATCCCCCAGCCCCCGCCCCGGGACGGTCAGTGCCCACTACCCTGCCATACCCAGCGCACTCAGAGACTCGCCTCGCGGCAGGTGAGTTCGGGCCGGGGGCGCTTGGCCCGCGGCTGGCTCACCTTGCTGAGGACCCCGCAGCGCTCCACAGGCGGCCCGGACTCCGTCTCCGGATCCTCCTCCGAGCCCGACGAGTTCCAGCTCTGGTTATCCGACATGGAGGCGCGACAGCCGAGCAGGAGACCGGCCCCCGCTCCCTGAACTGCGCCGGAGGAGGCGCCCAGTCCCCCGGGTGAAGGGTCGGGGGCTAGCGAGGGGAAGAGTGCCCGCTCCGGCGCTGTGAGGAGCTGGAGGAGGGACGAAGTCCGCCCGCCGCGCCGCGCCTGACACTGAGCGGACCGGGGAAGGAGGACGCGAGGCGAAGTAAGCCTGCCCTTCCAGCCGTCAGCCGCCGCCCCCACAGTCCCCGTGACCCCTGTGCTGCGCCCGGCTCCGCTACCCGAAACCAGCCCCTCGGATGCCAATCTCAAACACAGACGGCAAAGGGAAGGAAGAAGAGGGGAGAAAAATGCAGCTGCAGAGATCCCCTCACACCTCCGCTACGGCCGCCATCTTCCTGCCTGGCCCACTATTTACCCTCCCCTCCCCTCTCCCCTCCCCTTCGTCCTCCCCTTCTCCCCTACTCCCCGCCCCGTCCCCCTCCAACGTCTGACGCGACACGCCGAGGGCTCGGGGTTCCCCCCCGCCCCCCACCTCCGGCCTTCCCGGGTGACGCCGGGTAGGAAAGGAGGAGGAGCGAGGCAAGGAGAGGGAAGGGATGGGGACGTCACTGTGGTGCATTCTGGGAAGGACGCTGCTCCGTCAGCCGCGCTGTCTCCTGGGAGTTGTAGTCGCGATCTTGAAGCAACTGGTGAGTGGCCGGTGCCGGGGAAAACTGCTCTCCTGGGTACGGGTCAGTCGGTGGGTGGGCTTGGTCCCCTCAGCTTCTGTTCTATCTCTGCCTAGCGTGTTTATGACGAAGCTGCTGGACTCGAGGGCCCGGACGTGAGCCAGCTCTCCGCTGAGGATGCTCGGCCTGCTTTCGGCTGCAGCTGCCCGAAAGCCCGGGAACATCTTTCCGCCCGTTTGAGCAAGCGGGAGCTTACCCGGCGCTTCCGCCTTAGTCCCGGGCCAGGGGCCCCTGACCTCCCCTTTGACACAAGGTTTCTTGCCGCCAAGCCACCTCTGCACATTTCAAAGGTCTTTCCATCTCGCTCTTTAGAAGTTGGACTTAACGTTTGATATTTCTTTCTTTGTATATTGTTAGATTTCCAGAGTCTTTGTTTTGTGAAAAGCAATTTTGAGAATGCCAAACGTTGGAACAGTGTTTAAAATAAGAATGTGAGATGATAGGGCTTGGAATTTTCTTGGTTGTAAATGAATATCTTCCTCAGAGTCAGGTGAATCCATCTCAGCCGACCTCCCTGTGAAAGATAAGGTTGGAATAGAAGTTTTATTGAATAAGAAAAAGTGCAATAGTCTTATTGAATAATAAGGGGTCAGCTTGACTTTAAGAATTGAATTAGTGAAACTCTCACACCTTGTCTAGTCTTTTTGTATCCATTGCAAGATAAATTTTATTGAGATCTTTAACTTTGTAACTTCGGTTTTCTCTCCTTTGCTTTTACATCTTGTCAATTTCCTAATAATTGCCAACATAATATTTCTTATTAAACCTTAGAAAGAATGTCTGCTTACTGCCAGGATAAGAAGATAGGAGTGAATTTTTGAGTCTAGGGGAAAAGACATAGTGGCCAGAAATCACTCTAGTAGCGATTTAGAGATGCCAAATTAACTAGAATTTTCAGTAAAAGGCGGAATGATGGGAAATATCTGAGAACTACCTGTAATATCATTCTCCTAGATTGACTCTTATGATGCCGAATCTATAAATAAGTTACAAATAGTTTTTACATTGTGAAATCGATTGACAATGCATAATTGGAAGCCTCTCAGATGAATAAAACCTTGAAAAGAGTAACACCTTTTATTGAATTATTATGTTTAGAATGTTGAACACTGTAACAATTAAGTTTTGTTTTGCCTTCCAATTACCTAGTATAGTCTCCCTATTTGATTTTTTTAAAACTCTAGATTTTAAAATATCATTAATCAAATCAATGATTGAATTCTTGAGAAATCCACTTCATAATGCATTTTACATTCATGAGAGCAAAGTAAATATTTTTAACCTGAATTTTTATGTGTGTCTAGGTTGTATGTAGTTGTAACCCCAAGCACTTAGATCATCAAGGTCCCCACTTACTCAGTAGACGATTGCTTCAATTTATTTAGTATTAACATGAAATTTACTTTTTTAAAAAATGTTTTCGGTACATTGTTTCTACATTTTTAAGGCTATGTAAATTTTTTTTAGTACAGAAGCATTTTTGTATACTAATTAGAAAACCACATTAGAGGTTTGGATTCACTTGATTTCTGTTGATGGGAAGAAATTGCAATACAAACAAAATTATGAGCTTTCTCTTTATTCACTGGTGAGAATGATACTTTCTGATTTTTCTCTCTTACTAGAACTTTCCCCAACCCTCTTATAAATGTTTGTTTTCTATGTATTCTTTTGTCTCTCTGTATTAGTCCACCTAGGATTTATTTTTGTATATGGAATGAGGTAGGATTTTTTTTTAAGGACAGCCACTTGGCCCAACACTTTATTGAATAGTTTTTTCCATGCTGTTATATCTGTATGATATGCAAAATCCTCATACACCTAGGTCTGGTTCTGGACTTTGTTCTTTTTCATTGATCTATTTGTGCATACCTTTATTAATGCCATATTGACTTACTTCCTTAATTTTATACTATTTTGACATGCAGTAGCTAAATTCTTTTGATATTCTTTTTCGTTAGAATATTTTTGTTTATCATCCCTTTCAGATGAATTCTAGAATAGCTTATCAAATTGCATTAAAAAATTCTGTGGGGATTTTGTGAAAAAAATGGTATCTTTACAAAATGCATTCCTGATCTGACTTGTTCCTTACAAACCATGTAAGGTAAACAAAGGTGGTACCATTTTAAGGATCATGAAACTGAAGAGCAGGGAAGCTAAGTAACTTATGTAACACTAAGTTACTAAGTGGAGTGTTAGGATTTGATTTCAAAAATCATACCTTTTGCTTTAGGATACCTCAAGAAGTAGAAGGACTTGTGTAAATAAATAATAAATCCTGTAGATAAATATATTAGAGCAATTATGTTCTTATTTCAGCTAATGATTTTGCACATCTTTCGTTCCTCAGCCCTTATATCTATGCTCTCTTATTTAACTCCAGTATAGAATTTGTGATTTCTATTATTATTTCAGATGATGAAACTGAACAACCAAGAAGTTATATGATTTTCCACAAGTCGTATAGCTGATAATGAGCGTAGTTTCAGTTTGAACCTAAATATCTTGATCCTAGAGTTCATTATCATCCCACTAGAGTTCATCAATTCTTCTGTCTTTCACCACACCTGATTCTACCAAATTTTATCTCTACTAGACATCAATCCCAAAGTCTTCATCCCCCACTCTGCTCCCACTGCCAAGACACAGAAGTGAAAAAATACGGAGGTGCTGGACCTGAGGATGTTGAGGATGATATTACTGATCAACAGGTAGAGGAATGAGGAGGAAAATATTTTTTTAAATGATGCTATAAAGGTCTTTCATTAGCTTGGACTACCATAACAAAGGATTAGTTAATCTGTTCAACATTCAGAGTCTTCTAAGTTAATTTTCAACTTAGAGCTGTTGATGTCCCTGTTTTTCCAATTTCCTCTTGCCATCAAGAGAAATGATTGTGACCCTTTTTTAAGAATGCCCCATGATTGCCATCAGGATTTCCCCCCAACCTGCTAACATCTAATTCATGTTTTGATGTAAATTTAATGACAGTTATGTTACAAATGCTGCCTCACTGACAAGGATTATATGAAGCATCCCAATTTTGAAGATACTAAATTATGAAAAATTGCTTCATTGAAGCAATGAAATTAGTACTTGCTTTTCTTGTTCAGTCATGTCCCCTCATTTTTTCTCTGAAACTTCCTCATAAACTTTCAATGTATATGACTTTCAGAATATAAGCATATATATATAGCATTTTAAAATTTATCTATATGTTGTGAACATCTATTTCATGGTATTCTTTCTGATTGACAAACTTCCTCTTTTGCTGGGCTTCAAATTTTCTAATTTTTCCTATTACAAACATGCTATAAGAACATCAGTTTAACTTAATTTTTATGCATTTGTCTAGCTTACTTTGGTTGGGGGTGGAGGGCATGGAGGAGGGTAAATTCCCAGTAGTGGAGTACTGAAAGAGAATATATATATTACATATACGCACACACACATATAATGATATGATGCTATCAAATTGTCTTTCAAAAAGGATGTATTAGTTTATACTTCTGTAAAGTGTGCTCCATAGAAAAGGATGGTAGTAGGATGGGAACTGAGGAAGTTACCGGAAGGAGATTGTGGCAGAAAGTTACAGTTTCAGAATGAACCACATTAGGAATAGTAATCAGTTTATTATGGTTGACTAGTGGATATTTTACTGTTACTGATCATATCAAGGCTCTTTTGAATGCAGGGGTAGATATGCATTTAAGGTATCTCAAATATGAGAGGACTATTGTAGAGCTGTCTGAATCCTCAGCCAGGTCTCATACATGTTGGGACTTCGTGTTTTTCTTTCCCATTTCTGGGGCCTCATGATACATTTCTTCTCTTTGTTCTCAAAATGCTTTGCCTATCTCTTTCACCTCTTCATTTAGCATGTAGTTCAACTTGGTTTAACGACCTCTCAGTTTCAGGGCTCTCTCAGTGTCTCTTGGTTCAGATTCTTAATAGTGCTCTAATCAGCTTTTCCCAAAAGTGTAGAATCTAAGGCTACCCCTTCCTCCAAGAGGGAGGCCAACTAGAAATAATATGTATATTTAATATTTCATTTTCATTATAGTATATTTCTGTCCATAAAGATGGGTACAAGGATGTTCTAAGTTAACATACAAGAAAATTCTATTTACCAAGCACCATGTAGATATTGATTCATCAAGGACATAGCACATGATAAATGTTTTTTTTCTTCCACTGGAATGTGAGTTTCATGGGGACAAGAATTTTTTTTTTCATACTTTTTTCTATACTTAATCCTTAGAATAGTTTTCGGCAATTGTATATATGTTATATCTTATTCTTCGGTTAATAATTTAATTCGACAACACATAATATACGATATGCTAATTACTATGAGTGATTTTAAGATAGTGAAAGATAAAAGGGGAGGATAATGTAGTGGGGATTCCTGCCTTGAAAGAGATTGTAACAGAAAACAGGGTAAGAAGGGACACACCTAACTGTAATAGGTGAACTAGTGTGTGGTTTTTTTTTAGTTGGAAGGAGATAACCTTTACTTCTACTGCCTGAAAGTGGTAAAACGCTGTTCTCTAATCCTGTTATCTTATCCTACTAGATCTCTGTAAGCCACTTACTCCAGTAGTTTTACTTAAAACAATGACCATTTGGAATACAAAAAAATAAGTGTCCTTGTTTGCTGCTCTCTTTCCATCAAGTTATCATGTAAACCAATGTCACATTCCAAGTATTGTAAGTTGGTAGATCACTCTGTATTAACTATGTGTGTGACATTCAGCCCATCTTCTAAATGAAGTTCAGAAATTTTAAAGATTTACAAGCTCCTTTGCAAATCTCTCTGCCTTTTCCAATTTAGTCTATACTACTTGCCTCTGTGAATGAACTTTTTCCTCCTATTTTGACTTCTAATCTATTCTGTTAACCTCTTCCAACGTTCCTGTAACGCCTATTAAAGAATCCTATAGTTTCCGCTTCTGTGGTGATTCTCGCTGAGTTCAGTCTCTGGGTATAAACCCTCCATGGCTTTATCTTTAATAACTCTATGACTTTGGATGTGTATTTTATAAATGCTACCTTAATAAATGGCATTATTAATGCAACCAGTATCTTTTAATTACTTTGTCTATCCCAACTGTTGTGCTGTTGTGCATTTGTAAACATATTTGCATAAGCATATCAGAGTGGACATTCATTTATATGTAATGTGCTGAAGGCATCTATGTCCTTATCTGTAAATGTAAAAATGAGTATCAGAAATATAAGGGGCTCTAAGAAATTTACATGTCTTCCTCTTTTGTGACATTACACAAAACTATTGCAAAATATCTTTGCAAGTATACTCACAAAAGGGCATACAAACATATATAAAAAATAGTTTTAAAAGGTAGAGATCATATTTTACCAATTATTGGCATCTTCTAAATAATTTTCAGTTAGACTTAGATCTTAACAGGTATACACATATCCAGTGTAAGTGTGTAGAACACACAGTTGCTGAGAAAAATGCCAAAAGCTAGTCATAAAATCTAGTTGAATTAAAGCAACTTTGTAAATAATATTTGACCCATTTTTGTGCATTTTTTACATATAAATGGTCTCAGCCACTCAGCTATAGAATTTCTCTTTCCTGCATTAGCTGGAATGATTTTCTTTCTCCTCATTTATAAGTGTATATATATTATTGATATGTGTTGCGTATTTCTATTGTCTGTTAATATTTTCTCTCTACTATTCCACCTCTAACAGTCACAACAGGAGTGATGAGAAAAGCAGAAAGGAGTAGATAAGACATAGTGAAAAGCTGGGAGAAAACTAAGCTATAGTGAAACTTTCATAGCATACCTTCAGTCCTGCTTTAATTGACTCATAAAACTAGAGAATGCAGAAGCTTATGGTAAGACCTAGTCTTAATTCTTTGTTTGTCCTGTTTCCCACCACAGCAGGTCAATTTCCATTTTTCCAGAGCCATGGTGAGTCTTATATCCTGGTCTCAAATCTAAGTTTGAAGTCCTTTTTCTACATCCTATTCTCATTTCTATTTTTCTTCATGGGCAATAATCTGAATGGTTAGTAGTATTGAGTTAGGTTATCCCTGTTATGGAGCCGGATATTTAAGTAGACATTGCCAATATTTACCTTGCCATCTTTCTTTCTTCTACCTCCCCACACTCCATTTAGATTGAAGAACTTTTATTATCATCAATTATTTGTATTCCATTATGCTCCTGTTGCCAGGTCTTACTCTGTTACTCTGATCCTTAAGGTGACTTTGAATTCTCTTATTTGTTGATTGTTACAGTCTAACTTTTTGAGGACAAGTGTGTGTGTGGGGGCGGGGGGAGCAGTGCTCATTGCAATACAGCTACTTAAAAATATGTCATATCCCATAGAAATTCTAACATTCAGCAAAAAGTGATTTCAGAAACAAAATTTGAAAGGACATGTAGATTACCTTTTTGTTAGCCAAGTCAAGCATGTTCCAAGAAATATTTTTTTCTTCCTGCTAAATAAAACTGAAAATGTATTCCATTATATTTTATTTACGTTTGGTTTTGTCAGGTAAAAACTTGCATTTCTTGTGAATAAAATTACTTGTGAGTAAAAGCTAGTGGTATTTCATAGGTTTCACTAATAGTAAAAAATCATTTAATATAAAAATTAATCTATAATAGAGTAACAGTATTACTCTCCACTTTCTGAGATGTGCTTTTTAAATTTTTTTCCAAGCTTTTGAGCCCTTAATATCTCTTTTCCTGTTACGTTGAGAAATTGCTTTGTTAATATGTTAAAACTCATACTATATACAGTTATTAGTCATTTTAAGTATTGGTAGAAATCCTCATGATAGTTATATTATAAATGTGTTTTACTTCCTGTTTTTTCTCCCCAGCCATTTCATTGTTTCACTTTTACTATAATTTCGGATCCTCTTCTTCTTAGGCAAGTAAGCTGAAAACTATTGTTATAGAACATATACATTATGGTGATACCGACAGTTTGTAATGTAAATACACAGTTTGACTTCTTCCTCATTAAAGGTATTTATTAAGACCTACTCCGTGATGATCCTGATTGGGGTGCTATAAAAATAAGAGACATAAAAATAAGATATATACCACGTCTTCTGTAGATTTTTTTTTCCTAGCACTTTATTCTCCCAAAACACAGACAATAATTAGATATGTGAAAATATTCTTATTTTTTTAACAGTTACATTATTATTAAAGAGCAAGTAAAGGTTTAGACTTACCTGTCACATGTAAGCGTTCTGAAAATATTTATTGCTGAATGGGATAAGTTTAGTTGGTTGATGATGATTGAAGGGAAGCTATAGGAAGTGCAACTAATAAGGCACAGAAGAAAAATCACCAGTATGGTTATAATTAATCAGGGACTGAAGAGCCAGACTTAAACTTTTTGGAGGAAGAAGTATCCTTTGTTAAGGATCTAGTCAATGTCAGATATTGTTTTAGAGTTATGACATTTAGTATTTACTCAATAAAATTCTTTCAAGAAAGACATTATCCTTACTTTACATGAAAAGAAATGAAAGTTCAAAGACGTTAAATTACTCTTCCAAAGTCATAGCTAGTAAGTAGTCTAGCCCAGACTTGGGACTTCAGAAGCCTATAGTATGTACTTTTAATGCATAAAAATTTTATGTTAGATTAAAACAAAAACAATTATTATTCTACAGTGATTAAACATTTGTTGAGAATCTGTTAGAGGCAGA